TAAGTGGACCTCAGTTCTAAGTTGCTCATGACATGTTATGGTCAGGCCACATTATTTGTGCTTCTCAAAGAGAAAATAAAAATAATCCAAGCTCTACAGGATATTTTACTTCTGCTCATGCATATGAGAAATATTCTGTTTGGAGACAAAATTATTGTGTGCGCTGTCTACTCTCCTTCTGCTGTTACGTATCAGAGTTGTCATGTAGGCTGATTTAGCAGAAGACATTCATAAAAATCATATATTGAATACAGCCATGAGTAGATCATCTGCCTGATCAGACTTGAACCCCACGCTTTTATGGAGTCAACCAGCTGAATGTTTAAATAGACCAGAGGGGCACTTGTACACATGATGGAAATTGGCCATTTTTGCGGTTTAATTGCGTCATGTTGTACACGTGCAGGGGTTTTTATGATTTAAATAAGTTTGCTACGTTGCAAACTAAGCCACATCTGCATGTAGCTTAGTTTGCAAAGTAGCTATTTGTAAGGTTGCAGCCTTTGACAGCTCACCTTTGACAGCCCACCACTGCAGGAAAGGCAGGCTGAAGGCAGAAGAAGTAAAGGACCTGGTCCCTTTTCTTTACTTTTTTTTTTTCCACAGAGCCTGCCTGTGTCTCTGAGCTGCAGTGGGCCCCAGTCCTTCTTTCCACAGCAGTGGTGCCCCCTGGGGATGCCCAGGCAAGCTCCTAGTGTGTACCTGCTGCCCCAACTCAGGCTGAGGGAGCAGTTGGATTGGGCTGGGTGCTGCCTGCAAGCTGAGCAGCACCCTCCCACCAGCCACCCACCAAGGTGGCCCTGGGGGGCACCGCTGCCATGGAGGGAAGGTCCAGGGCCCCCCGCAGCTCAGGACCTGCCTGCAGCTTGCTCCCTGGCCACAGGAGAGGTGGACAGGCTCTGCAAAAAGAAAAAGAGAAAAAAGAACAGGTACCTCGCCACTTTTTTTTTTCTCCCTTCAGCAGAGCCTGTCTGCGTGAGCTGCCACCGGGCCACACAGCCTTTTAGCTGCATGAGGGCCTGGTCCTTCCCTCTGTGGCAGCAGCACCCCCTGGGGCCACCCGGGTGGGGTTGTTAGCTGTGTGGGTGCTGCCCCAGCTCATAGGCAGCACCTGCCAGATCCAATTCTTCCTTGAGCCCATGCTCTGGAAGCCTGCTGGGCGCTGCTCCCTGTGCAGGTTCAAGGAAGAGTTGAATCTACAGCTAACACCATGCTGTGCAGCCCTGTGGCAGCTCATGCAAGCAGGCTTCACTGGGCGAAAAACAAGCAGCAAGGGGCCTGACTCTCTTTTTTTTTTTTTTTCCCTTCCATGGTCGACAGATGAGCTGCCAGCAGGCCCTGAGATGCCAGGGACCCCGGACCTTTCTTCGATGGCGGTAGCACTGAGCCACTAGCCACCCACCCAAGGGGCCCCAGGGGACACTGCCTCCATGGAGGGAAGGACTGGGGCCGCTCTGCATCCCAGGGGCTATTTGGCCTGCCAGCAGCTCGCCCTCTAGCTGCAGGAGAGACAGGCAGGCTCCACAGGGGGAAAAAAAAAAGGATTTGGCCCCTCACCGTAACGGTGACAGAAGCCCCTAAATTGAAACAGTGGGCTTTTAATCATTGTAATTAAAACCCCACCATTTGAATTTAGTGGACTAATAGCCTAGGAATCAAGTCAGACCATCTTTTTTTCCTTGACCTAATTTATACTAGAAAAGGTTCGCTGCTATGGCTATATTAGCAAACCTTCCTAGTGTACATACAGCTTATACCACCTCCCCAAACAAAATAATATCTACTTAGCAATACTATTTTTGCTGCTATAGCAGTATCCATACTAGTGCTTGCGCCAAGACAGCCATGTCATAAACAAAATCAGCCCATAATTAATATTACTATATTGGCAATATTTTAAGTGTAAAATCGGCACTAGCCAAGTCAGCACTTTTAGGAAAGCCTTTTACAATAGTAGGCAGGAATTTCCCAAGTGCCTTGTCAGCTACAAAGAAAGATGCTCTACTATAATTTACCAAAATGGGCTGTAAGCAAGACCTATAATTCTCTGAAAAATTAGTCATTACAAATGTTGGGAGTGTTTCATGTTTGAACATACATATTTGTCACTATGAAAATGTCCTTAGAGGAAATGTTGTTCCTTACTGCAATATCTCATGGCAGGAAAAAGAAACCTTGGATACTGTTTGTAATGATGGAAATACTTCCTCTTCAATATTTGGTACTCTACTCACCCTTCTCTCATTTGAAGGAAAGGCTTGGTGTCTCTTGGTTAAAAAATAGGATTCAGTAACCTGTCCAGTAGAGAGTCATGGGTAACTGTGACTCCTGCATCTCATGTAAAGTGCTTTTGAAAAACAGACCACTTATTTGAGTGCATAAAGGTGGCTGCAAAAGCCTACGTAAGGGCCTACTTTGCAAAACAGAACATTCTTAGGGGTAAGGGATGCTCCAAACTCTCACAGTTTGTCCCATGATTCCATCACATATTTCAGATGACCAGACTGTGTGAAATAAGGTTTTGTCTTCAGCCTGGTTCCTGCTAAATAGTTCTTCCCATATAGTTAAAAACAAATGAGCAAACCTATCCACATAGTCATATTTGACCTTTGTCCTGTTTCAGCCCAGAATTGAAGGACTGCATGGTCAATATATAAAGAACTACTACTTCCACAGGATTACTAAGTCATGACCGAGAAGTTTAGTTGGGCAACATGGCAGTGCTTGTACAGCTGATGCCCCATTCTCACTGAGAATGAGATGAAATTCATCTATGCTGTAGAATAGTGGTTTCCAACATGTGGTCCACAGACTAAGGGGCCAGTGAAAGATGACTATGATCAATCAGAAATTTGTGAATATCCACACTTACAATTCAAAGCTGTCTGCACCTCCATTCAAAATTTCCAAAGGGGTCTGCAAATGAAAAAAGGTTGAAACTCACTGCTGTAGAATATCAGCGCAAGGGACTCTGCACAGCCTAAACCCCACAAAGAGCCAGCAGCAGAGTTTTTTTCTGGAGGAACAGAGTGCTTGTAAGTCTTCAAAAAGTCTAGTGCAGTCAGGAAAGGGTCATTGGAGGTTCTGCAGGCCCATTGGACCTACTATTCCCAATAATTGCACAAGAGAGAAACTGAAAGAGTAGCTATGACAAAGCTGTACAGCAACCCTCCCCCCCTGGCCATAGAGTGGAACGTGACTTGACTTCTGCAACTTCAGCACATTTCACTGCAGGGAGAAGCTGCCTATTTGTGATTCATGTGGATGGGGATGGATTTCATTTTGGAAGAATAAAGATCTTAACTTTAGTACCCACTGCTTTCAATGTGACACCTTTCACAAAACTTGAATTTATTTCTTTACATCGTTTGTTTGAGCTTATAGTAGAACAGTATGATTGTTACACAGTTCCCTGTCAGCTGTAACTGACTATATTTCACATTACTTCCTTTGCTAGCCTGCACAAGCAAGTGGCTGTGAAGAACATTGTGAAGACAAAGCAATGCCTGAAAGGTAAGAATTTTTACTGGGGTATAAAAATGACACGTGTAAATTTTGTACCTCTGGAATGAAATAAGTAAAAACTCAAACAAACCACAGGAATTACATATGTGCCTATCTGTAAATGTATTGCTGTTGGATTGTTTGGACTGTATTCATGTTATATGAGAGGTCCTACAGAACCTGAGGTAGAACCTGAGGTTCAGGGATGCTGGTAGTGAATTATGAATAGTAAAAATCTGCATTAGAATTCCATTGTGTTACTTGGACGTAGAAAAAATATCTGCTTTCCCAATTGTCTGCATACATTCTGATTTTACCAAATTCATTGGTAAGGGGAGCTTTTCATTTCTAGATCATTTCTAGATCAAATGTGCCTTTCATTTCTAGATCACTGGTTTGCAACCAGTTCAGATGAGGAAGGACAGAAAACGGTTGCTTTCTGGTAGTGATTTAGATTACATTGACTGAATTGATTAACTTTGTCCACATACGTTTTCTTGGCATATATTTCCATCATTATTACCATGAGGCGGGCACTAGTCCCTGGTGTCACTTTGTGGGCATGCCAAAATGGTATGTCTTCTCCCCGCTTAGAGTTTGTGCTCCAGGGGCTATAGCAGCAGCCCTACACTGTTGCTATGTGCATACTAGGTATTTTCTTAAGTAAACTTTAAAAAACGAGAAGTTAAGACTTCTATCTTTAATGGACAACATTGAATTGAGCCTAAAAATAAAAATATAGATATTGTAGAGTTTCTCTCTTTTAAGGGAATTTCACAGTCTGTCATTCACCATGATGGTTTTGCTGAGTATATCAGGCCAATAGCGTTGACATTTTATTTATTCACATATATAAAATGTAAATGCCTTTTTCTAATACAAAATAATAAACTTGTACATTCTCTACTTGTCTAGGTTATTTTCAGAACCTCTTATGGGGCAAGCAGATGAAGATGAAATTACGTGGGGAAGTGATGAACTTCCAATCAAATCGATAAACCAGGATCATATAGATAAAGGCAAGGAGTTGAACAAATAACCAGTCAATGAAAAATAAAGATTATAGTAAACACAAAATGTTAGAAATAGCTGTTATTGGCACTGGATTTACAACCCAGTCCTGATACCTTGTTCCGGGCAGACCCAAACCCTCAGACCAACCATGACTTCTTCCATTTGATAATAGACCAATGTTATTGTTGCACAGTGATAGCAGATAAGAGTAATGGAGCAAAGCAAACAAAATATCTACCCCTCCCCCCGATCCTACTTATCTACCTAGGGTTCCGCAGGGGGACAGTACACCTGGCCAGTATGGGAGTGCCACCCTGTGGTCCTTTGTTGAATGTCACATGTCAGCAGTCTTGGAGGTCAAGGGCCAAGGCCTGCCTCCATGACGGTGTGAGCGAAATGGACCAGTGGTGTGCCCTCCTCCCACAGTGGCCTCAGGATCCCCGCCACTGCTCTGAAAATCCCTGTTTGTATTTTTTTTCTCCTGATGACTCTTCATTTCTGGGTACCATTAATTAGTTTCCCTGTGGTTGTCATACTATCCACATTCTGTTCTGTCCACATAATTCTTAGTTTCCAAAACTCATTGTATACATATATCTTAATTTGATCATCAAAGATGCTGTGGGATGCCACTCTTAATTTGGGCATCCCCGGCCTCCTACTTTGGTCATTTCACCACAACCAGAAATCCCAGGGGCTTTGCAGCTGGTCCCTGTGACCTAATGCCAGTTCTGTAGAGTTCCTTGTCTTTGTTATAGAATACTGTTTGCAGGTTTTCAATTTTCCAGCCTGTTTGTCTGCTAGCTTCGAACATAGTGGGCACATCTATACAAGATGCTACCTGCACAGAAGCCGAATAATACAGTGCAATAATGTGTCAAAGCACAAACAGTGCTAATACACTACTGCGCAGTATTATTAGGCTACTGTGCAGTAGCGTCACTAAAAAGGCGTTTGCCAGAGCAACTGCACAGTAACTCTAGTTACTGCGCATTTATTTAGTACTTGATTATACAAGTACTACAGTGTCTGCTAAAAGGCTCATGTGCCTGCTAAAAGGCTGAGAACATGAAACTTTGTCACAAACTTTTAGAAACCAATTAACCCTTGCCATTCCCCTGAACCCTACAAGCCAATTCCTAAAATAAAATTTCTAAATATCATTTTCTAGCTATCAGCTATAACAGTCTACTGGCTATCATTTAGGGCCCAATCCTGATACGCCTAAACAATGGGAAATGAGACTGCTCATCAGCCCATAGGGCAATAATTCTTCACCAATGCCATGGTACTCTGGATTTCCTTGAAAGCCTTTCAAAGATGCCATGGGATGCCACGTAAAGTTAATATTGTTAGACGTGCAAACATGATTCACTAGATCCAGAGATTACAAATAGAATTCATAGTGTTTAAATCATTCTGACCTGTTGTAGTCTTTCTGAGTTGCTTGCAACAGAATTGCTCAGTTTCTTTTTTTTCTGTAGTCAAAAAGGAAGTGAAAAAGTACAATGCCAACATTTTCTAAGGGCTGCCTTGAGTCTAATGAGAGATGCCTTGAGTCTGAAAAGGTTGCAAACCATTGACATAGGTTTTGTACCCTCATAAATCAAGCTTCCAAAACCATGACTGCTCCTCAGAACTTCAATCAGTAAATGAGAGACTCTGCATTTCACAATATATGTTTTACTGAAGTGCATGTCATATGACAAAGTGCGCAATCCGGCAGAGTTTACACTGGTATCTGCTGTGTGCCTGATACAGCAGTTAGTTGACTGAACTCAAGTCGCACAACATTTTCCTAATTTCTTTGGGCCTAATTTTGCCACTGCTAGTAAGTTAATTGACCTACTGACAGCAAATGCTATTTGGCATGTGTGCGCCAGAATCTAATCATTACTGCTGCCATCTGGAATATTGTCAGGAATTTCACATCCTAAAATTCATTTTTAGCAGACTCGTATCTGTTGTGTAGGTGGTTCAAGGTGGTTTTAAACAAAAATGAATAAAAATGAACCTGAATTTTTCTAGTAAACCTTTTGAATAATTCAACGGGCACTGGACATTTTTCATTCTTGCGTCAAGGAAACTTTGACTATGACTTTTGTTGTGCTTGAATGAGTAATAAAGGACACTTGCCTTTCTAAAGTATTATTCACTAAAAAATATAAAGCATTTACTTTAATCGTTAGACTATATTTTAGGGTGAGGCTTTAAAGGAAACCTATAGTCTTTGAGGCTTAAGAGCACAATTCCCCCCTTGAGAGCACAGAGGAGGAAAGGGATCTTGGAGTCGCCAGGATCTGGAACCAACTTCCTAGGGAAGTGGTCCTCGCTCCTACCTTGGGTAAATTCAAAAAGAGATGAACACCTGTCTGGGGTCATGTAATCCCAGCGTGTGCTCCAACCAGTGGCGAGGGGGTTAGACTAGATGATGTATTCAGGTCCCTTCAGACCCCTAACTACTATGAAACTGTGAAACAATTCTGATTTCATATGCCTATGTGATCTCTTAATTATGTAAATGACAGCATGTCAAGAATGTATACTGAGATATATGTTGATTATGTTAGGGTGTTTATGGGGGTGAATTTTTTTTTTTTTCCTAAATTTGACTTTTTCACATTGCTAGTCATTAATTGATCCATGTAAAATTTAGGGGGAAATGGTAGGGGGATAGCAGGTAGCAAGCATTACCACTGAAAGAATTAAACGGAGCGCTTTTTGTCTCAAGGATGCTTTATGGTAACCTTTAAGCATAAAAAATCAATGTGTATGTTATGAATAAGCAAATGACAGCCTGAAATATATATATGTGTGTGTGTGTGGTGTGTGTATATGTATAGATTTTTCTGGGAAATCTCTCTCTTATTTTGTAGCATTGCAGTATGGTATACTGTACACTGCCCTTAGAATTATCTATTGATATGAATACATAAATCAATCTTGTTCTTCTGGTAGATTCTTCTTTCATGACAAATGAAGAGCTGTCTGTACTCCCAATTGTCAAAGTGCTTCCTGGAGGCAAGTATACAGGAGCCAAATTGAAGTCTGTCATCAGAATGTTACGTGGACTCCTGGAACAGGGAGTTCCTTCAAAAGAAATTGAGGTAAACAAATATGGACTATTTAAAATCTTTCTGTATAAGATTCTTTTTAAATATCCCTCATTTGGACAGGGCAAGGCAGTTGGAAACATAGTGTTCATCTACACATCGCCCTACAGTGACATAGCAATGCACTAGGGCAGTGTAGCAATCATGTGGATCTACATGTGATTGGCAGCTATGTTGCTGTAGCAGCGCACACCCCCATTTTAGCGTACCGCTAGGGTGATGTAGTGGCAAAATCTAACTGTGCACTATGTGAGCACTTACTGTGCTATGCTTTAGTACTTCCCTTTGCAAGTACTAAAGGAAGGAAGTACTAAAGCACAGTGCTGTAGCAGCATCACCATATGGCAATGTGTAGATGCATCCATAAGGCCTTAAAAACTGTCATTATTAGCACCATTGCAAATATGGGGAGAGAATACTGTATCAAATGCCACTCCACAATCATTATGTAATTATGTTCATTCACGTAAGCTATGTTGGGTTTAGAGCTAAAAATATAATCTCCCACTTAAAAAAAAAAAAATAAAAAAAAATAAAGTCCACAAAAGAATGTGAGATAAATGGATAGAGATTCATTCAATGACCTCTGCATACTCCAGCTGCAGTACTGGAAGATCTGAAAACACAAACATCTGTTCCTGTCAAAATTGTGATTAGCAGCCAACCATGTTAAAACTTCCAGGTGAGAATCAGCAAGCAATTTCCAGATGATAAGTTTTTGCAGAGCTGTACATTTCTTCCCCATATGAAGCAAGATTTCCTTGCATTACTGAATTGTTTAACTTGTCCATCTATATGAGTACTATTTCAACATATTGCTGATACATGTTGTTAATCACTTAACTGTTGTTAACATTGCCTGGCATTTTGCCCTTCCTAGCAAATACATGATTTAACACTCTGTTCACAGAATCTTCAAGAGTTAAAACCTTTGGATCAATGTCTGGTTGGGCAAGCTAAAGAGAACAGGAAGAAGAACAGATATAAAAATATACTTCCATGTAAGTCGGATAAATGTTGACATTGGTTTAAACAGAGGAACAGTATGGGCTTGTGGATTTGACATCAGATCTAGAAAAATAAGTCTGGATTCATATTCCCAGTTCTCCTACTGCGTGGGCAAATTGCCAGTTCTCTCTGCACCTCTTTCTTTTCTGTTAAATAGAGATATTAATGTTTATACACCTTGGATCAGAAGTGCTATATAAGTTCTGTGATTAACATTGTTTTTGTTTTAGGAGTTTCTTGCATAAGATCTATCTGACTTTATTGTACCAGATACTTCTCTTGGTTACACTGGTGGTAGTCTGGAACACCAAATATGTAATACTATTGTGGGAGTAGAGTTTTATCTTCCAGTAGGCATGAGTTGCACGTGCAAGGGAAGTGAGGTCTGAGACTAGGACTGGGAACAAGATACTCAGGTTCCGGATAGTTCTGATCTCTGTTCTTACAAAGACTCTGCATAACCATGAACAAGATTCTTCAAGCTAGATTTTCAGAAGTGCCAAATACCCAAATCAATGGGAGGTCCCAGTGCTCTGCACTGTAATAATCAGATTCCTAACCTGGCTGCCTCTTTCCCCTGTGTAGATGTAGCTAAAATCAGTTTCATGAAAAAGGGATGTGTGGGACCTGGTTAGGATATGTAAGTCTTCCTTTGAAGATTAGAAACACTATATAAAGAAGAGGTGTCTTTACAGTATATAGGTTTAATTAAGTATAAATCAATAAAATATATTTCTATGCTGGGATTGCAGATGATACTACTCGAGTGCCTTTAGGACCTGAAGGCGGATACATCAATGCCAGCTTCATTCGAATGCCAGTGGGAAATGAGGAATTCGTTTACATTGCATGTCAAGGACCTCTTCCTACAACAGTAGCAGACTTCTGGCAAATGGCTTGGGAACAGAAGTGTACTGTGATAGCCATGATGACCCAGGAGGTAGAAGGAGAGAAAATAAAATGCCAACGCTATTGGCCTGATATACTCAGCAAAACCATCATGGTGAATGATAGACTGCGGCTTGCCCTTGTGAAATTGCAACAGCTGAAAGGATTTGTTGTGAGAGTGCTGGAGCTAGAAGATATTCAAGTAAGTGACTCAAATCATACTGTACCATGGTGGTTTTGAAAGAGCTGTCTTTGAGTGTTTGCATCCCTATCCTGACATGGATTCTTTGCCTGCCCACTTTCAGTCCAGTCATGGGGATCTAACCTTCTGTGTTCTGGGAAGGTGACAAGGTATTTAGGTCTGTTTTTTAATTTTGTCCTTGCTTATGACAATTGTGACTGGGATTTTCTTTCCCCACATAGGAATGTGGGTGAGCAGTTCCTTCCACAACTGGAACTAATTCTGCATAAGCAAGCCAAATGAACGTTTCAGTAGGTAGCCAAGTGCATTACCTAATGTGCCCCTTGCTCCTTTACAAGACAGGTTAGAGACATGGCTCTACATGTATGCTCCAAGGCCTTAAACTGCAGAAGCAGGATGTTCCATGAAATTTTAATTCATTTGTAGTTAAACTTATACAGTTGGATTTTTTTTTGCAATTACCACAGTTTGGATGGTAAAAATAGTGCTATTTTACGTAGTCACCACTTAAGGGTCACTGAATCATAGTTTTATTTTCCTAAATTTTGAGTCAAATTTTGGGTCAAATACTTTGCAAGTCTATCTTTACTATGAAGTATTTTGAATATTTCATCTAAGACCTTGCCTGTCATATTTGCCATTTCCACATTCATTAGTTCCCTCTTGTTTTAACACTTTAGACAAGTGAAATACGGCGTGTTTCTCATCTGAACTTCATGGCCTGGCCAGACCACGATACACCCTCTCGACCAGATGATCTGCTCACTTTTGTTTCCTATATGAGACACATCCATAAATCAGGACCTATCATCACTCACTGCAGTGCAGGCATTGGACGATCAGGGACGCTTATTTGCATAGACATCATTCTAGGATTAATCAGCAGAGACTTGGATGTGAGTACCCAGAGGATGGATTGAACTGTGTTTGTAACAGTACAGAACTGTGAACTACTATTGCAGCTATTTGTTTATTTTACTAGAGTGCAACAATGTTGAGTCTCAGACCCTGCCTATAGTGTAATCATATTTTAGTCAGTATATGGTATAAAATGTAATAACTATGAGAAGAAGAAATGTTAAGGACAAGAAAAATGATATTTAGAATCTCTCTGAGTTTGTTACTGAGACACTTGAGGTATCATTGTTTATTGAAACCTAAACAAGGCAGTGTATGGGGTTATTTAATGCCTGTAGTAATTGTCTGTATAAAGTTAATGAAATATTCACATTTATTTTTATAATTTTTAATAAAATGTGTGATTTTTTTGCAATCTATTACATTGGTATAGTATAGTATATGCTGTATGTTCACCAAACCTGCATGACTTGATGGCTGTTTGCATTTTACTAGTGTATGTCTGATGGACTAAAATGTGGATTCCCAAGTGCCATTTCCCATACCTGTGTTGTGTGGAGGAGCACACAGGCATTTATGAAGTCTCCATCTATGAAGTCTCACTTGCACTTGTCTGTTTGTTTCTGGCAGTTTGACATCTCTGATTTGGTGCGTACTATGCGACTTCAGAGACATGGGATGGTTCAGACAGAGGTACGTCAATCCATTTGTTACTTTGTGCTTTATCTAAAGGCTTCTAGTGGAATTTCTTAAGGTTTATAATAGGCAGATAATATCTGTGTTTGGAAGAATAGTGGAAGGACTTACTCTGTGCCCCAGGAGCTCTTCCTTTATGCTGCAAGAATGAAACCAAGCACTTGCAGAGAGACAGATTTAATTGCATGTAACTTTGAGCGTTCTTTAGTGTGTTCAAATATCAGCACTTAAAAACATCAAGCTTAACAGGTTGCAACCAATGTGTAACTGTTGTGTGTGTGTGTGTGTGTGTGTGTGTTGAACGCTGTCTCTATCGGCTATAAAAAATCTGACATTTGTCTCATTTTGGAATTCTTGTGTTCAACTTCCTACTATTTTGGAATATGCTTATTTTACTTCCCGGGGAAGTAATGCCTTAATTGTTCATTAGTACCTTATTACCAGGGATCCTGGTTTTCTCTGATTAAAAATTGCAAATTCTCTGGTTAAAAATTGCAAATTCTCTGGTTAAAAGCCCAAACCAGACCCACTGAGGCTGACACCCACCCCAGCAGGTAAATGTATGTGGAGGGAAGGGGCAGAGCAGGGCGGGGGCAAGGGAAGGTGCTGGGGGTGTAGATCAAGAAGCGAGGAGTGTGCCTCTGTGCCCAGTCCCAGGATCAGAGCCGGGGGGCGAGGGCAGGGGTGCCACTCTGTGGGCCACACATATGCCAGCCAGCCTGATGGGAGGTTCGCACATGGAGGCCGTCACCGCAACTCTGCCACTGCGCCCTGCGCTACCATCCCACAGCCACCTGAATGGCTTTGTGGGGCAAGTGCTGGAGGGCGCAGCAGCAGCAATGTGGTGGCAACCACCATGTGTGGGCCACATATGTGCCACCCGGCTGGGGGGTGAAACGGGGGAGCTTGCATGCAGCAGTATGCCCCACAACCGGCTGCATGGCTCCACGGCGGTGTGGGGTGGTGGCGGCTGCATGCAGGGTTGGGGGGGCTTTGTGGGCAAGTGCTGCTACTGTGGAGCCATGCCCTTTGCCCCTGGATCCTAGAGGTAAGTGGGGCTTACTGGGAGCAGGGCCAGGGGGTGACGGCAGGGGTGTCCCTCCTGTGAGGGGCTTTGCGGGCAAGTGATACAGGGGGCAGTGTGGTGGTGCCTGCCATGTGCGAGCCCCACACATGCCGCCCAGCTGGCTGCCCAGGGGAGGGGGAGAGGGAGACTGGCATGCGGCCGGAGCGTAGCTCTGTGGGCGACTGCAGCCACGGCGAGGGAATGCGGGTTGGGGGGTGCTGGGGCTTGGGCTAGCACGCAGCGGCTGCTGCCACTTACTTAGAGGGCCATAATGACGATGACTGCCGCCGCAGAGCTGTGCCTGGACCTGTGCAGTCGGCCGCTGGGCGGCAACAGCAGTGTGGTGGTGGCTGGGCAGCACACAGCCATCCCCGCCACCTCGCGCTTCGCTGCTGCTGCTGGCCACACCGCTCCGAGCATGGCTCCGCGGTGGCAGCAGGAGGTTTTGTACGCAGCAGCTGTCGCCGCTGGCACGGGCAGCCCCACAGGCAAGCAGCAGTGGCTTCCCATGCCACCAGTGATGACCAGTGCCTCCACAACCTCCCGCTGCTGCTGTGGAGCCGTGCTCAGAGCTGTGCGGCTGGCGGCAGTGGCACAGGATGGTGGGGATGGCTGCGTGCCTATGTTTTTATGATTCTATGAAACAAAATCTCCAGAAACAGTCCCATACTGTATAGTATTACTATGATCAAATTGGAAATTTCCATATCTTTTTGTTCTTTATCTCTAAGAAACTCATCCTCCCTTTAGTGGAGTGCTTAGAGAGAGAGCTCTCTAAATAAGGTCAAAGTTGTGGTGGTGGTTTTATTTGGAGTACAGTTAATTTATGGAGAAGAAATTCCTTAGCCCATTCTAAGTTTAAACTTTAAATTGCATAATATTTGCTTGTTCCACTGCAGTATATTTTTAAGCTACATGAAATGCTGTTTAAATAAGGATCTCAGCAACTGTAATGTTGTTTAGGTAGTATGACCTTTGTTAATGTATTTCTGATTTTTCCTTTCTCACAGGATCAATACATTTTCTGCTATCAAGTTGTCCTGTATGTCCTAAAACGTCTCCAAGCTGAAGAACAACAGAGAAGCAAATAAAATCCCAGAGCCTGAAGTGCTTTTACAATAAGAAAGCGAGAGAGGCAGAGGGTTTTGCATATTTTGTTTGTTCTGCCAATATTATCCCAGCCCTTTTCTTCAATTTATATTCAGCATTTGTTCTACAAGGACTGTCCTTCACTCCACTTACAGTATGTAGTACATAGAAAAAGGCAACACAATACAGTATTGCCCCTATTCCCAGCCAACCCACTCATATATAATGATGGGGTTCTTTGTATACGCTAAACACTATTTAATAGAGTTGCATTTTTGCAGCTTCCTTAATCTGTTATGACTTGCTGAAATAAAAATGTTTTAATCAAAAAAAGAATGATAATGTAACAATGCCTATGGCATGTACATGATTGTTTTTGGTATTTGTTTCTACTGCATTAGGGATGGGTGGGAAATCAAAGCAGTATTTTATCTTGGGTGTACTCTCTTACAGGGATTTAATGGTCTCTTTTAAAAGCTTGTTTATAGTAGAGCTATGCTTTTCACCATTTTAATACACTAAAGTTTATTTTGTAGGGGATACTTGAAATCAGTATTTAAGCTTATAATAAGACACCTATTAGCCTAAGAAAAAGTAGTGAATGTTTACTGTAAGTATCAGTTATAATGTTTACTTCATAGAGTCACATGTATATATTTATATACTTTTACAAAAAAGCTGAAGTATAAGGTGCCTGAATCTATGATTGGGCATCTCCACTGTGTAAATAAAAATATGCTTTAAAATTTATGGATCCATAGGTGTGGTTTTATGTCTATATGAGATGATAGCTCTGCCTTTATACATACTCTTCACCAGACTATCAGAGCTACTTTTTGAGACAAATCTTTAGACTTCAATTTTGATTTCTATTCCTCCTCTTCTCATGTTGGTATATTGATTCAGCAACAGCAGATGAATGGCATTTCTGTTGGAAGAGTTTGCAAATGGACAGAGGGGAGAGTCTAAGAAAGGGAGTATTTCTCCTCAGAAGGCTCAGGGAACCTGTTTAGTAGGGCTGTGCGAAACAGCAGTTTTCCGCTTCTTCATCTATTTTGATTAAAAAACACTGTTCCATTCCGATTCGTCGAAACAGTTTCCCTGTTTCCACATTTCGATCAGGCCGGGGAAGGGAACTCAGCCCAGCTGGGCCGAGTTCCCCTCCCCGGTGCTATGATTGGGCTGGGGAAAGGAACTCAGTCCAGATGAGTTCCCTTCCCCAGTGCTAGGATAGGGCTGGGGAAGAAGGGAACTCAACTCAGCTTTGAATCTCAAAACATTTCGACTGCCCTCATTTCATTTCAAGGCTGTTTTGAAGCCCTTCATTTCATTTCAATTTCGCTGTTTTGAGCTCAAAATGAGTCGAAACAGTATCGAAATGGAACAGCCAGCGAAATTTCGCACAGCCCTACTGCTTAGGCCCACATGAAAGTCCAGGCCTACACCTCAAATTTTGGTAAGTTTATATAGACAAACTTCAGATATAGATAGTCTACATAAAATGACCAGCCTAGAGGCATTAGAGTCAGTTTGTGAGGGCTGTAGGTGTTATAGGGCTTGCTACCACTGCCCTGAGTTCATTTTCCTACAGGCGGTGACAGGGTGGACCTCAGCTTCGGATCACCTCGTCTGCCAGGAAGTTGATCTTGTGTTTCTCGCCTGCCATGACTTCGATGAAGTTACATTCTAGGAGGCAATGCCCAAGGTGATCTTACCCGGTCTCAATCCCCGTTTTCTTCTATGGGGCTCCAAACCTCCCCTTTACCCCAGCCTAGCTTCTCCAGATGGTGCTCTAAATCCTCTGCAGCCAGGTTGCAGTACTGCCTGTTAGTCTATTATTCTGCCCTCTACCACCAGGGTGACCTTTGGCTTTGGTTAGGTGCACCCCTTCCAGGGCTGGCCTTGGCCTGTACTCAAGTATCAAAAAAGGAAAAAGAACCAACCCCACCCCCACCCACTCTCAGTCTACTTGTCAGGCTCAGTCCATGTCCCCTTCACCTGGGATCAGGCTCTCAAATCCCAATCACAACAGCAAAATAAATCAATTAGTCCAGTCGCTGTTCTGCACAGGCCTGCCTGGCTTCCTTGTGAACATTCACAGTCCCAATGGGATCTCTCCCATGTGCAGCAAGGCTCTAACCTGGAACAGCAGTTTCCTCAGGCCTCTCCTCCAGGTCCTCAGCTGAGACACTGCTCCAGAGATTATCAACAGCCTCTCTGCCTGCCTCCTGCTCAGGGTCACTCCCTGCCACCGGGGATGCTCAGCTGCTCCTCTCTCTGCAGCTTGTAGGGAACTGACCCCTCCTCTGCCCCTCTCCAGGGCAGAAATACCTCTGGGCAGCCTCCCTCCTCCAATCCTGAGTGAGATGCTGCTCCAGAAGTGTGGTGAATGCTTCTCTTCCCTTCTGGTCTCCAGCTACAGCCCTGCCAGCCCTCCATGCTGTAAGTGTTTATTTTTAATCTCACTATCTGTTGCTTCAGCTGCTTTTCTTCTGACCTCCCCTGCCCAACATGTAAGGCACCTCGGGGCTTTTGTTTGCTCTCTCTCACTCCTTCACACAGTTCTTTTGAATGTAAGGTTATCCTTACACTGATATTTAGGTTCAGCTCTAAGGGCTGCCTTGAACCAGTCCAAGCCACAAGAGCCACCTATCCCCATCTATATTCACACCTTGTGGACCCTGCTAAGGGCCACCCACTGGATGCATCTACACATGCAATTAAAGCGACACAGTAAATTCCAAAGTTGTTTGAGCCAGAGTGAACTGCTCACACTCTACCTCACCAACTCTCTAGTTCAGGGATGGGCCATTATTTGGGCCCATGGGCAACATAGGCAGTTCCAAAGAGCTGCCATGGGCTGGTCAGCACCCTTCCCACCACCATGGCCCAGGACCCACATGCCCTGCAGCTCCTCCCCATCACTGCCAACAGCACCCAGCCCCGACCCTGGCCTACCTTGCACCCGCTCCAGACTCGCCCTAGCTGGAGCAAACCACCTAGAACCTGTATGCACTACCCCAAACCTGGCCTGCCCCATGCCTGCTCCAGACTGCCTGCCCATGCTGAGCAGCAGCAGTGGCTGGGTAGAAGCTGCTGCTCAGTGCAGGGCAAAAAGCATCCCCTCTCCTTCAACACTGCTGGGCCCTTCTTGAAGCCACCTGAAGTGCATGCCCAGGTTGCCCTGTGGCTCCTCTTTGCTGCTGTCACCGCTGCTTCCAGGTCGTGGAGCAAGGCAGCAGCCTCAATGCAGAGGAACCACAGGGCAACCCAGACTTAAGCTATGGGCGGTTGCAGAAGGAAGGGCTCAGCAGTGGTGAAGGGGAGGGGCTGCTTTTCTGCCTCATCAAGCAGCACCTGCTGGCACTGCTGCTGCTGCTCAGCCTGGGTGGGAAAGTCTGGAGCAGGCAAAGTGCAGGCCAGGATCGGGGCTGGTCTGGAATTGATCTGCTCTATTGGGCTAAGTCTGGACCGGTCACTGGGCAAGGTAGGGTCTGGGCTATGTGTATGGGTCCCCACCTGTACCACAGGGCTGGGGCCAGTAGCAGCAGCAGCTGGAAGGAGCCACCGCCACCTGGGCTGCCTTTCTAGGCAGTCCAGCTTCAGAACTGCCCCAGCCTCACTGTATATCCAGGGGGCAATGGGATATACCACAAGCCAGACAGCACCTACTGTGGGCCAGACAAAATCCCTCTGCAGTCCAGATCGTGCCCAGGGGCCATATTTTGCCCACTTCTGCTCTAGTGGCAAGTCACAGTTCTGCAGGTCAGAAACTGCATTGTCTTAATGTGCAACTGCTCTAAGCTCATTGTAACATTAAGATTGCTCAGCATTCCACAGCATTTAGTATAGCCTAAGGGTAACATGTAGCAACACCCTTAGTCTTTATTCTTTTTCCCTAAATAAGCTATCAGAACATGGTCTAGATAACGGGAATTTTTCTTTTGTAGACTACCAGAAAATTTACCAAACCAGCCCCAATGCAGATATAAACCAGTTTCTAATTAAAGACCTGTCTTTGTATGATACTGCCTTACATGCTTTTAATAGAAAGAGGGGCCAAGGACTCTGAGCCCTGACACTAATTCCTTCTGTGGTTACAAGCAAGTCCCTTAACACACTCCAGCAGACTCAGTTAATTGATCAATCAAGTCTGCTCCGACATGCTGTAATTACAGCGCATTAGAGCAGTCTCCCTGCACGTCTACATGCACCACCCGTGTGCACTAGTTTCTCCCTCAGTCTCACCTGGGTCATATGAGGACAACTCTGTGCAAAGGACAAGCTCTAAATATGTTTTGCAGAATTACCTGTCCTTTGTGTTCTAAGGTACTAATGCTCTTGGACATTTCCAGGTAGCTTACTCCTTCTTAGTAGCTTCCTTGAGTGAGATGTAGATGTAAAAAACATTTATATTATTGCTTCTTAGTACATACCATCAACAAAAGGAGGATTTAAAAAAAAGATGTCAGGTAAAGTTTTTAAAAATGTCTTCATGAAAGGAACCTGGGTCCCAAGTTTCAGAACTGCCTGAGCACTTCTGAAAATTTCATTAACTGCTACTACAAGGTCCTTTTGTATAGAAAGAGATTATCGGGAGCTTTTTTTTCCTTTGGTTGCAGAGATTACTTTGACAATTCAATATCTGTGTATGAGGGGCACTGGTTTGCAGGGCTGGGGTTGGTAAAGGATTGGAGGACCTGTTGCTGCAAGTTTTATCCCATCCTGACTATTACATGGGATGCCCCAGAAGTAGCTTTGGAAAACTAGTATGTCTTTGGGGTGGACTAACATTGAAGAAGTGCCTTTGCTGTACCTGTGTGACTAAGGAGAGGTTATGTCTACTTGATCATGCTTGCTGAGAATCTGTATATTCAGGGGTGTAGGGTTTGAGCCATAGTGAATAAATACATTAATGTATTAATAATATGTCTATGTAATAATACATAGTACCAGAATAATTTAATTATTTTGTGCTTGAAGGTCAGGGAGGAATTTGAGCAAACACTTGTATGCAAAGTTATCAATGACTCTGACCTCTTTGTGGTCTGACCTCTTTGTGGTTTACAGCAGCATGAAAACCTTTTTGCCCTAGGATGAGTTGAAAGACACAAGGCAGCTTTTGAAATAACGCAGTTGCAGCTCCACAAGGCCCCCAGGACCGCAAGTAAGGCTGCTGGGGCCCTAGCCTCTCCTACCCCACCCAGGGTAACCTGCTGTGCACCAGAGGGCACGTGGCACAGGCATTCCCCAGGGATAAGTAGCAGTGGCACAAGTGTGCCACAGCTTCTTGTCCCCAGGGAAACAAACATTCACACTCATGTGGACACGGCCATGAAGGCTAAGCTCAGGAAAACATCACAAGTCATTTTTAAGTAGCTTTTGGGAGATCAGTCTGGCAGTAGCAGTAGAAGGCTGGAGGCACAATGAAATCTGGCAGCCTTTCTATGGTGAATGATTTTGCTTTTGCTGATATGTGACCATTCTCATTAAAAAACTAGGTGACTGTGGCATCGATGCCTACACAGTCAGATGGAATGCAAATTGGCTGAAGGGTCATACTCAGAGGGTAGTGGTGGACAGGTCTTTTTCGACCTGGGGGGAAGTGGGCAGTGGAGTCCCCCAGGGCTCGGTCCTTGGGCCCGCACTGTTCAATTTCTTTATTAGTGACTTGGACGACAGGGTGAAAAGCAGCCTGTTTAAATTTGCTGATGATACCAAGATTTGGGGTGAGGTGGGCACACTAGTAG